TGATGCCATCTGGGCATTTCCTCTCTGGGAGGAATCTATTTTCATCTTAAGGAAATAAATAACAGACTTGAAGTCTGGGCTGGGGCTTCACTGTACAGAAGAAAGGGAATTCAGGAAACTGCTCGCGGGGGGGCGCGTGCCTGCCCCTGCCCCTCACCTCCAAACCAGAGTGCAAGGTCACCAGTCTGAAAGGCAGCGTGCAGGTGTCTGCTGCTCATGGCCGGTGATCCTATGATCGCGGTGTCTGCACAGGGCCGGACTGCTTGCCACCCAAGGCCCTCTGCCTTGGCCCTCCCCCGTCCCCCTCCTCCCCACCAGCCCAATGGGGCACTTCCTGGGACTTAGAGCCCCCAGTGCAGGACACAGCCTCTACAAAGACCCATAGCTGACCTGGAACCAGTTAGGAGGCTGGGTGGGCCAGGAGGGGGATGCTGTGGGTGGGGAGGGGGGAGGGGTGCAGAGAGGGTCTTGAGAGGAAGAAGGGGGCTGCAGGAAGCATGGAGATTCCATGGCTTCGGGGAAAGATCCACAGGGGGGTGCCGGCAGGGATGGCGAATGTTTCCGTCCGCACAAGGGCTGGCTTGAGCCCCTGAGATCTCCGAACCTTGAGGCCAGAAAACGAGCAGGGTCCTCAGGTACCTAGTCCTCGCTTGTCAGGTCCCTTGCTACCCCCTGATATGAGGGTGTCAGAACAAGCTGAGGTGCAGAGGCAACATCGGCGCCATCCGAACTTGGCTTCCAAAAGAAGTGCTCTTCAACAGTGTCCTAAAAAGTCCGTGTGTTGATGTGTGAGGTGTTAAGAATGTCACAAGGAGACGTTCCAGGAGGCCACTTGCAATGGGATGGCGAGGAGTGCTGAAGTCTGGGCCCTTCCGCGCTCTGTCCCCTCCCAAAGGCGCCCTCCGCGTGCGGGCCGCTCCCAAGTGCTCAGGCCCCAGCTCTGCACACGTGCACACACCCGTCCTCGCTCCAGCTCACTTCTGGCTTCAGAGGCCTTACAGCCCTGAAGAGACAGAGGGTGAGTGGGGGAGGGGCAGAGAGAGGGAGACACAGAATCCGAAGCAGGTTCCAGGCTCCGAGTTGTCACCACAGAGCCTGACACGGGGCTCGAACCCACCAGCTGTGGTCAGGTCAGATTGTGACCTGAGCCGAAGTCCGATGCTTAACGCTTAACCGACTGAGTCACCCAGGCCTGGCTACAAGTTTCTTAATTCAGATGTTCCTCTCAAAGATTCCCGTGTTGCCCACAATTGTCAGGGATTATATTTAGAGTCTTTGAATGTCACCAGTCATGGAAAATCTTTGTCCTCTGGGAACATAATTTTTGGACAAAATCATGAGTCAGTAGCAGCCAGCCTGAATGCAAACTGGGATTATAGTAACAGAGTCAGGTGTCTTGTCTGAGAAGACTAAATGAAGCAAGGGGACGAATTTTTGACCTGTGGCTGGGAATGGATTCTAACACTTGTTTAATTTTTTTGAATGTTTATTTAATTTTGAGAGAGACAGAGCATGAGCAGGGGAGGGGCAGACAGAGAGAGAGAGACACAGGATCCGAAGCAGGCTCCAGGCTCCCAAGCTGTCAGCACAGAGCCGGACGCGGAGCTCAAACTCACAGACCGTGAAATCGCGACCTGAGCCAAAGTCGGACGCTTAACCGACTGAGCCACCCAGGCACCCCGATTTTATTTTATTTTATTTTTTTTAATGTTTATGTAGTTTT